CATCTAGAGAGAATAAGGTTGTTCCAAGAGTGCAGGATGGTTTAGTGTCATGGGTAAGACACCAAAAACACTTGGTGCATATTGTTTGTATTAAAAACAGCCAACCGCAGAGTATCAGTTTCTGACTCTTGGCTACTTCCCAGATCCAGTCCAGTGACAGCTCAGGGCTTTCAGTGCTTGTGGCAATCAATGCTTCTAACCTTCAGAGGAAAGATGTTGTGCAAACACCAGAAGACTTTAGTGAGATTCAAAATCTGTACTTGATGATCACGACTCATAGGGATTCACAGAAACTGAAGCAACAAACACAGACTGTGTATGTGTTTGAGCTAGATCCTCTGAATATACCTTATGGTGAGTAGCTTTGTGCTCTTATGGGACTCCCAACAATGGGAGTGGGAGTGTCTCTGACTCTTTGCCTGGGAGCCTTTTCTTCCTAGTGGGTTGCCATGTCCAGCATGATTACAAGGATTTACGCATAGTCTTACTGTATCTTGTTAGGCTGTGTGCAGTGGATATCCCTGGGAGGACTGCTTTTTTTCTTTTTTTGATTGGGGGGAATCAAAAGTTGATCTGAGGGGGTAGGAGGGGGGACCGGGAGGAGTGGATGGAGGTGAAACTGCTGTCAGGATACAGTGTATGACAGAAGAATAAAAAATTTAAAAATCTGTATTAAACATTTCACAGAAAATATAGCTATCAAGACATCAGAGGCATGATATTGTGATTAAACATAGTGAGCTGATATGGCCATCAGGAGACTAGCAAGGTATTGCTCTGTCTATGTCCTTCATGGAAACATGCCTACTCCATGCTTAATGCTTCCTAGGGATAAAAACCTACTATTTATTCCTAGAACCAACAATAGGGAATGGCCCTAAGGTACTACCATCCCTTAATGGTCTTCTTCTTGGAATATTGTTTTCCTTTGTTTCCACACTCCCAAGTTCTGAACTGGGCATTGGTCACCCCTAAGACTTGGGTGTCTTTACTGGCAGAGAGAAGCCAAGAAGGGAAAGACAAGACAACTATGTCTACCTCTGCTGACAGATACAAACTAGGCAGGCTCTTTACTGTCTCCAGTTCTCTTAGCCTCTTTCTCTTTATGTCAGTAATGGATATATTAGGCTAGCTAGCCTCTACAAAACTTCCCATTCCACGAGTACAGAGTACAGTCCTCTATCTTTCCATTGCTTAATTTGTAAGACTTACTTCTCCCAAGGGATATTTTAGCTTCCATGCAGAACATAATGACCAAAGAAGACTTTTCTTAAAATTCAGGACATCCTACCTGATGAAATTATAGACATTAGGACAGAACATCATGTAGGCAGAATATTCTACTGGCAAGGCAGCTCTGCTTATCGGGAACCACTGTTCTCACACTTTTGAAAAGAAGCCAAGGACAGGATCTGAACGATATGTGATACCCAATATTGTGAGTTCATTTATGTTTTAGGCAGTACATCACCCAGTACATTTATGGAGCACAGCATTATATTATTAGCAGCAGGTATTAAATATATTATTCAGTATTAGAGGTATTAGTCTCGAGCATTAGGGAAGATTAGCACTTGATGTATTAGTTCTTTGAGGTTACAATTAAGGCTTGAATTCCTGATTGTTATTATCCAGTTCATGGTAGTAACTGAATTGTGATTTCGCTTTAATTCCACAATGAGTTCACCAACATTGACAAGCCAGTACTAATTAATGACAATTCTTTATTTGCAAATGTGTCTGAGAATAGGTGGCTCACATGTTTGGTTATCATAGAATTTACAGGTGAAAACTTCAACACGGGCATCCTTTTCTTAATGAATTTCACAGCCTAGTTTTATGAAAAACTCTATGCTTAACTAAGTTTCAACCTTTTAAAGCTTCCTCTTAAGCAGTGGTTCTCAACCTTCTGAAATTTGCAAGCCATTAATATTATTCCTTGTGGGTGGTGTGATGACCCCCAACCATGAAATTATTTCATTGTTATGTCATAACTGTAACTTTGCTACTGTTATGAATCATGATGTGAATATCTAATACTCAGGTCCTCTAATATATGACCCCCACAAAGGGGTCATAAACCACAGGTTGAGAACCACTGCTCGTAAGGGGCCTTGCCTACCCACTATGCCATTTCCTTCTTTCTTTCTTTCTTCTAGGAATGAAATCTTTGGTCTGCTGCTTTAATCCAAGCTCTTCTATACTAGGCACTCAATGGTACTCCATCATAGTCCCAAAACCAGTGAGTAGGCAAAGTATGAAAATGTCTACTGTTATCCTTAGTGTTCATCCAGACCTCTATCAGTGTTCTTACACCTGAGATCAAAGGGGCACTGATACAGTATAGAACTTTTAGATGCACTTGATTCTCTCACCTTCACAGTTCAAAGCTTTCAGCAGGCAAGGAATGGAATCGCAGTAATAGGTAAATATGTCCCTAAAGCCATAGCATCTCACCCTATGGAACTTACAGGTTCCCAAGATGTCCTTCACATCTCAAATAAGAACATCCTTTCTGAAACCACTGTAGACCATTTTGATCTGATTCAGGGCATAGGGCTGAGGTTTCCTAGCCCTAGTACAATGGTAAGATTGACCCAGGGGAACCTATATCTTGTGTGCTGATTCACTTCCTACAGAGGTAATCATGTCCCGCTGCCAGGGCTCCACACTGCTAACTTTATGCACAGTAGATTCCCAATTTCTCTCTTCCCACTCTGAGTTTTGCTATTCACAGCGGGCTGACAATTTGCCACATAAAAAGTGTGCCCGTAATTTATGAGTGGAACTTTCTGTCCACCCACTCCTACAGCATGTAGACAGGATCATTTGGAGTGCTAAAAGCAGACTCCTCTGTCTGCCTTACACCTCTCAAAGCCCATCCTCGGCATATATCAAAGTCTCTCTGACATTTGCAACCCTCTTCTCACCAAGAGTACCCTCCTGTGGTACCTCTCAGCACTCCCATTGATGAGGATGTCATCTGCTTGTTCTGTTTCCCCGCAGCTGAGAAGCTTGGCATAAACCCCACTTAGCAAACAATGTTTTGAACTAGTACGAGCTAGTCTATAGCTGTCTTCACCCTCAATCCTCCCAGCACTCTGGATTTAAAGCCTTCAAGGAGGTTGCAAAGAAGTGACTTGGGGCACTTACCTGCCAAGGATTTGTTGTTGTAATTGATTAAATGCAACATCAAATTCTTCTAATGCAACAATGAACATAAAAGACTCTTGGGGAGATGGGACCATTTTATCATTGCCTTCCATTTCATTTTCTAATAACCAAGATGTACCATGGCTACAGATTGAGATAGTTAGTATTTCTGTGATTTGCTCTGAATAAAAGTAGGGCTGTCATACTTACATATTGCACTTAGAACACGAAGCATGTGGACAGAGAAGTGGCTGTCTATATAATACTCTACGAGGTGATGCCCTACTGTTGTGAGGGTCACTAAGCTGAGAAGCATGTGTTGTCTGTCTAGGATATGGTAGGTTGCAGAAGTGGCAGACAGACTAGAGGAGATCAATATCACATTTGTCAATTTCCTTAAAGGGTTATCCCAGACCATAATATGTAAAACATGGGAGAGTCTCCTGCTGCCCATAGGGGCACTGACAGGAGAGGCCCTCTCAGCAGGTATCTGGTTAAGACTGCAACTTCTTGTGAGTAAGAACTTCCAATCCTCTTACATGATAATGGGATATTCCGGTGTCAGGGCCTGTGCTGACTCTCTATGAGAGTTCTACTCCATATAATGTTTTTCCTTCCCTTCTCTCTCTCTCTCTCTCTCTCTCTCTCTCTCTCTCTCTCTCTCTCTCTCATTCTTCTCCCTTTCTCTCTCTCTCCCTCCCACTTCCTCTCTCTCACTCTCACTTACACACACACACACACACACACTTCATATCTGAGCTAACACAGGCATAAATGAATGCATACATACACTAATCAACCAGTCTCCTACATCCATGTACATCATCTGTGGCCACGCCTCTCAGACACAGGAAAATTAACAATAACAGTAAGAATAAACAACATTCAGGCAACCCCAAGAACTATGTTTTCTTTTCTCTCTCGCTTGCCACTAAAAAGGGTCTTTAAAATGCATTAAATCAAGTAAAACTTTACTCAGAGGTTCAGGTGACTGGAGCAGGTTGACAAGAAAAACAATCACAAAATAAATATTTTTGTTTTGTTGTTTTTTAGAAAAGAACATTTCCATATACATTGTCTCTAACTTGACAAAACTGCTTCCTTGGACAGACAGGTGCTGCGGGAGGAGGGCTCTGGATGAACTGTGAGGGGCTCTTGGAACAAGTCAAAACTCTGAAACTGGGGAGACCAAGGAAATGAGGGGGCTGGCAGGAAGAAGTGTGGGAATGAGCAAGGAGGCTGTGGCCTGCCCTTAGTATTGGTTCGTCTGCCATAGCACTGCACATACTTTCTAAGGAAGTGGCACCAAAAGCTGTCAGCCCATGGCCTCTGGGGTGCAGGGAGGCAGTGTACAAAAAGTAAGAACCGATGCAGGGAGTCACAGAACAACAACATTTTAAGAAATCTGGTTAAAAAGAATACAAAAGTGACTCCATAGAGGGGAAGTCTCCCGCCCCTCCCACTTTTGTCCCCTCTTGCTATCCTGGGTGACAAGAATCATTTTAAAGCATGTTCACTCATTTCGTTCACGATATAGCTGGTTCTTTTATATCTTCCTTGGCTCTTTTTCAAATGCATTCATTCTGGAGAGCACCAACTTTACAGATCCCAGGCTGCTGAGCTGTGGCCTCCCTGTGAGTGGGGGCGGGGGTTGTAATCACGTGTGCACATGTGCAGTGGCTGTTCATTGTCTCTCGCCTGCTTCAGTCTAAGCCTTGAGCTCCCATCTCCCAGGTGCTGAAAGTCTCATGGAAGCACCCTGTTGGCACTGAGGTAAGGGCTCGGATTATCTTTGCACCCTGAATGTGTGGGTCAACTCTCTGACCAGCACTGGGGTCGTTACCCCATTAGCTACAGAGTTTGCCTGTCTCATACTCCACAGGATTTGGCAGCTTGGAATTGAAGGCTCTCAGGGAAGATTGGATCCTGCCCACCTCATTGTTGGCCAGCTTGAGCCTATGTCTGAGCAAGCAGGAGAAAAGGTCAAGCCGGACTTTGCCAGGTGGAGAGAGTTGGTTCACCCGGTCTCTGAGCTCAATGAGTTGTAGGAGTGCCGAGTCCTGGGAACCTTGAGTATATGGGTAGTCCAGCTGGAGAATTAAGTCTCGGATAGCATCCGGATCAAAGGGCAGACTGTAGCCAAAGACCTGCAAGGTGTTGATTTTCATGTAGCCCAAATTCTTGGAGGGATCAGTCATCTCCAGGGGCTCATAGTAGATTGTCTCATTGGAGCTGTCATCCAGGGACTTGATTCGGCTCCTTAAGTAAACATGGACTGTCTCAAAAAAAGTCTTCCACCTGTTCCCCAAAGTGATAGTCCAGTTTTGGCACTGGGCAGCTGCATCCACGTTAGTCCTTTCCCAGTCAGGAAAATTGCCCTCATTTACAGGCATGAACCAGCTCTCAGAGTGGCTGCCCCCGAAGGGGTTGACGTAGATGGCCATGACAGGCTCCAGGGTGCTGTTCTTAGTGAGGCAGATCTGCAAGGACAAGGCCAACATCACATGCACCAGCCCAGGCTTGTACTTGTTGCTCTTCAGAGTGAGCAGCATCCGCTTCCTCCAGGAAGGATCAAACCAGCTGCCCAGACGCATGTCGTTGCTGATGAAGATAGAGTGCACCTCAATGCGGCTGTCTCGCTTCTGCAGCAGGTACTTCAGCTCCAAGTCCTGCAGGTCTGTCTCCAGCCCCAGAAAATTCTCCAGGGACTCAGCTACCTCTGGCCGGCACAATCCCTGGGCCAGCACATAACCAGGGTTACAGCTCCCACAGCGAGTACTATTGTCTGAAGCACAGTGGGCACATGCAGACCCTTCGCCCAAGGCACATGGGATGGGGCCCTGGCAGGAAGATTGGTCATAGGGACAGGTGCAGCTGTGGCTCTGTTCCAGGAAGGTCCCAGGGAGGGTGCTTTCTCCACAGTAGAGAAGGGATTGGATTCGGTTCCACCAGAAAGACAGGGATCTTGAAGAGATAAAACCAAGAAGTACGAGTCAAAGGAAGCTGCCACTGTCCTCCCTATGAGTATCAGCTCACTGACTAATAGACAGGGCCTGGAGGGTGGAGAGACAAGGAAAAGTTCAAAGCCACAAGTTCACTGAGTGGTGAAAACGCCGGTGCTCCAATTTGGACCAACTGAGTTAAGCCTGGAACTCTATGTAGTAGAGTAGCCAGAAAGATTTGATATCAGGTGTGTCTTGGAATTGGCCAGGCTAATTTTTTTCAGGTCATTCCCCTTTCCAAACTGGAGGCTTTTCAATGTCTCAGATCAAATCTACCTTCTAAGCTTTTCCTATGGCTTAGTTCTTTAGACAGTTTATATTTTTGCCAAGTTCATGCTCATCTAAAAGTCTCTCCTTTTTTTTCTCTTTTATCCTTCTTACAGGAAGACTTAGAGTCTTTTTGTAGGTTACTTAGACTTTGGATTTCAATTCTTAGCTACCTTCTCAAATGGGCTGTTCCCATTTGAGTTTCTTCCAAAGTGTTTCTTCCAAAGGACAACTCCATTCACTGTCTCATCACTGTGTTCTGGATTAATCCATGGCAACTATCTGTGTATAGAATGACTATTGGTTTATGGGGCACTTATTTATAGCTGGCTTCCCTGGCAGTGCAGTGAGAACAGGGGTTCTGTGCTGTCCACTAACTCAGTCTTAGAGAACAAGCTTGTTTCTTGTTCATGATGGGCATTTAATAATTAGTTGCCAAAAAAATTAAAAAGAACCATCTTACTAAACCCCGCTCGTCTGTCTTCTCCACTCTTGCTTTCTGCCTTCCCTGAGGCTCTATCAATGACAAGGCTGGTCTGCTTCAAGACTAGCTATGCTGTCCAGAGCACTGATGTACCTACATATTCCAGGTATTCCTATCTTTTCTTGCACAAGCTGTCCAAGACTTCCTTTTCTTAGGTTTTTAATGCCTCTGCCTCTTGGGAACTATTGTTTTGTATGAGTTTGTTTCTTTTTTAAATTTATGTCCTTTTGATTGGTGTTCTACCCCCATTAATTTCAGGGGCTAATACAGTCAGGATTTTAAATTTTTTATGTCTTTACATATTTGCTAAATCTAACTTTGTCAATGGTATCTTCTATAGCTAAATAGCTGGGCATGGTATATAGGTGTAATATATTTTTAATGGACGCATATATGAAAGAGTGAATAAATAAGTGGATTCCTATCACAGTACACCCCTATCCTATTGGGAGAGTCCAGGTCTCAGTTTTCTTCCCTCCTATGACTCAGACAAGTGATGAGAGTCACTTGTTTAAAACAGTCTAGTGTGTTTATTTCTTATCATTTGCAATTGCTTGAACTCAACCCCTTTCCTCACTATAAGACTTACAAAACTGGGGAGGAGTAAGTGAGAATTCACGTGTTATTAGACTAGCATTTGAATCTGTGATAATTATATAAAAGTTACACAAGACTCCCTTAACTTCTTCATACACAACTGATGATTGAAAGTGACAAGTAGGGAGGCCAAGATTACATAATCAGCATGACTTAACATGTCACCACTTTCTCTTCTTCCATGTTGACCACAGTGCCCTTCTTGGCCTCAGCAGCTATGTCCAGGAGGTGCTGGGCCTTGGATCTAAAGCCTGGGTGCTCACCTCTCTTTGGGCAGGCGGAAGCGAGGCTGCCGGTGGCAGCGCTTGCAGAGATTGAAGAGGCGGCGGACGATCCGCTGCATCTTCTTTAGCAGGACTTTCAGGCTGGCTCCCAGCTGCTGGTAGCGGTGCTGGACGTTAGTGTCCATGGTCCAGTACTGGGAGATGGCTGTGGAGTTCAGGAATCGGTCACTGGGCAGCCGCTTCAGCAGGGCCTGGAACTCTTCTGTGGGCAAAAATACAGAATCTGAGCAGAGTGAAGCTATGTAGAGTCCTGGGAACACAGATTGCTACTTCCTTTGTTCCGTGGGGGGAGGGGGGAGACTTCAGAGTCACTGCATAGGAAAGAGGCCTCCCATCCATTGTACTAGCTTTTAAATTTACACATGGTTTTATTGGAAATTAATTAGCATATCATAAAATTTAGCTCTAGGATTCTTTTTTAAGAATTCATTTTTTGAATTTTATTCGTGTGTGTGTGTGTGTGTGTGTGTGTGTGTGTGTGTGTGTTGTGTGCTACATGTATGTAGGTGCCCACAAAACCAGAAGAAGGGGCAGATCTCCTAGAGCTGTAATTAGAGGTGGTTGTGAGTGACCCAACATAGTTGCAAGAAACCAAGTTTAGATCATTTGGAAGAACAGGACATGCTCTTAACTACTGAGTCATCTCTCTAGCCCTAGCTTCTGAGGTGCCTTTTGCTTTTTGTTCTTATTCCAGTAAAACTTCAGTTTTCAAAACTGGTATCGGTTATTCCTCAAATGGATAGAAGTCTGCTTTTAATAATAGCCTTGTTATGTATCTCTTTCTTTTTCTTCTCCATATAACTTACTCATAGAACTATCTTTCTTTCCTCATATAACATATCCTGATTACTGTTTTCCTGATCTACACCTCCTGGTTTGTCACCTCCTCCCCTCCCATCCTGATCCACTCCCTTTCTGTCTCTCTTCAGGGAAATTATTTCAACACTACCAGGGCTCTCCAGTGAAAGAGGTAAACAGGCTCAATGACACTCAAATGTTGACACAGAGAAGGTACTGTACCCAGCTCATAAATCTCAGAAACATTTAATCCTTGAGCTTAGCCTCTCTCTCCACAGCCTACTGTCTGATTCCCTAAGATACTCTTACTCTCTGTATGAGTAAGAGTATCTTACATTCTGCCCTGTAGCTAATGCAGAAGCAACATTCTGCTTCTGAACTCCAAGTAAGAGTTCTTTTGAATGTCCTGGGTATATTTGCTTTCTGAACTCACGCTCAAGTCTCTCTTCTCTGCTTTGTCTCGGGACCTACCACAACCTTACCACCTGGCACAGGTCTATTCTCATCTATTCTCCTGTCGAATCTCACAGTGGCAAAAGCCAAGTTGTATTGTAAAATATATCCAAAGCATAGGATTGGGGACTGGAACTTGATTTTGTTTTAATAGCTGCTTGCACCAACCTGTGGTATCACTCTCTTTTAATGATGAGGATGTTATAGCCCTGAGGAACTGCATGGTTATACCAAAATGGGAAAGTTGGTCAGTGAAAGAGCAAGAAGCAAACTAACCCCTCAGACTCTAGGTCTTAAGTGACATTGATAAATAGCTATGTCAGCAACAAACAACAGTTGGTTTGGTTCCCACTGGGTACCAACTAGACCATTCTATACATACTTCATATATCAACAAACATTTATCATGTGCAAACATTGTGCTAGACACCGTGAAATCAGTAGCCAGCAACACAGACAATGATACTTATACTCTCAATGATATGATATTTTTTCTTAGCATATTAAGTGCTTAACACACACATCTAAGTTAGGCACTGTGATTATTTGCATGAAGAAAAACACACCACTTAAGACTCTTGGTAACCATATAGTCATTCTTTCCTTAGAAGTTCACAAAAAAGAATAAGTTAGGATCCAAGTTAGATCCAAGTTAGTGTTCTGTCCTCTCACACCCTCTACTCTATAGTGGGGAAAAATTCTGAGCTAGTTATCTTGCTTACCTGACTCTTCAAACTGCCTGTTGTAAGTGGCCCAGGAGTCTTGGATCTGCAGCAAGCTGTCTTCCATGGCCTGGATGTCAGCATCGGGACAGTTGCATTCTGGGAAAGTGGGACCGCACTTGCACCAGCAGTCATTCTCCCTGCATACAAGCTCACCCTCGGAGCTGCATGTGATGTAGCTAAGTGCTGCAGCCACAAAACGCTCACGCAGGTGTTCAGGAAGCAGCACTTGCAGACCTGGGGAAAGGATGAATCAAGGAATCACTGAGCAGAACCAGTGGGGTCTCAGTTTCTCACACCCAAGGCTATAGGAATCCAAACAGGGGTTTTGCTGACTGGGCCTGAGAATGGTCACCCCAGGGTCTGATCCTGCTGAGCTGGTTGGGAGAGAGGGCTTTTCTAGCCCCCATGACAGATGGGGGAGGATCTGAATATGCAGATGAAGAACATCAAAGCCCAAGGCTTAGCCAAACTCCTCACATCAGCCAAATTGAGAGAGTGCATATCATAAGAACAGGCTTACTGGCTACACATCAGCATTTCTAGGAGAGAAACAGGAAGATGTTTCAGATAAAATAAGATCTTAAGGCCCTCCTGGGGGAGATAGCAAGGCTTGATGAGCTTGCTCTGCCTCCAATAGCTATCCTTCTTATAGTTACACAAAAGTTGGCAGTAGACATTTTCAGACATTACTAAATGCTAACCGCCCATTCCAGCCTGATAGCTGGAAATGTTCTGGTTATGAGATAGAGAGAGGCACTACAGGTAGCCAGGTACTAAACCAAGTAATGGCTCTGAGGGGGTCATCTCCATCCTAAAGGTGGTGTTGCTGTTGTTTTATTTTGTTCCCTGAACCAGCTGGGCTAACATTCCTTATACTGATGAAGGATTCTGATCCTCTTGCCTCTGCCCTACTAAGTGCTGAGATTATCAGTGTGTGTCACCATATCTTTTAATATTGATGGTTTTTTTAATGAGAAAATAAAAGCCACAAGGCCACAGTGACCCACCCAAGTCACAGCCCTAGTGTCAATCACTGCCCTTGTTTCATCGGGTGATACTCCATACTTGGAAATAGTTGCCTACCTCAGGGTAATTTAACTCTTTTTTGTTTTGTTTTTTGTTTATTTTGTTGTTGTGTTTTGTCTTGGTTTGGTTTCTTTGAGACAGAATTCTCTGTGTAGTCCTGGCTGTCCTGGAATTCACTCTGTAGTCCAAACTGGTCTTGAACTCACGGAAATCCACCTGCTTCTGTCTCTTGAGTGCTGGCATTAAAGGCATCTGCCACTACTGTTCAGCTAATTTATCTCTTAGGAAAGTATTAATGTAGGATGATAGACTGCTTCAACATCCATCAGGCTATCAGGCCTGGATAGGGACTGGCTTCAAGCCATGGGTAAGGTGGCTGTTGGAAGCATACAAAGGATGAAGAAAAAATAGATGTGGATTATGGATGGATTGAGTGTGGGTCAGTTCTTCAGGAGGCCTTTCCAGTAGGGATATTGTCAGACTTTCTGCCAGGAGAATGAGGTATAGAAGGACCCCTGAATATGAGGAACCCCTTTTCTCAAATGTATGCTCTTTATTTCACATCTATGTCTTTGTCCTTGGCAGAACATCAAAGAGCTCACAGTGTGAGTCCCAGCCTCAGCAGACCTCACACTATAACTTAAAGTTGTCAGCAGCATGGATATTTTCTGTTCTCACTTGAGGCCCACCTCCTACTCTTACTGGTACTAAATTTCCCTTTCTTGATTCTGTGCCCACCATGGCACTTGACAGTTCCTCCCCACCCCCGCTCAACACACACACCCTATCCACACGCTCGCTTTCAACACTTATGGTCTTCAAGTGTCTCCTTCCATCTCCCCATTGCCTCCCTCCTCTTCAGAATATTTCCCATTGCTATAAAGTAAGTGCCCTGAGCAATGTCTGGGTGAGTGATGGGCTATAAAATTAAATGGCATAAACTATTCCAAATGAACCACCAGAAATTTTGAACTTCACTCACTGCTAATTTCCAGACACAAATCCAGCCTGTATAGGGACATAGGAGAAGAGATATTAATTGTATTGGGTATCTATTAGTAGGTTTTTTACTCCTCTTGTTGTATGTTTGTTAATTCCTAAAGCGATGTCGGTTGCCTCTGGCTCAGATTGCTTGAAATTTGTAATCGTAGATCCTGTGTGAAACTATTGATTTTGTGATGCTGGGACAGTAATATCTTAAACAGAGGCAGATGCAGTTAGCTCTTAGGAAAAATGAACGTCTCTCCTCAATCAGTTTGCATAGCTCTGCCCTTAAAACATTTGAGGAACAGATGGAATTAAGCATCTTTACTTGTCCCCCTTTCTTTGGGCCTACAGCAGTGCCCTTTTCTTTTTCTTTTTCTCCTTTGCCCATTCTATCTCTAGTCCAAATGTTCCTGTTCATTCTTCTCCAGTGCTGCTCCTGGCTTTGAGTTTCTCGGCTCTCACAGAAAACCACAGACATGGAAATGGAAAGCAAGGGCCACTCTTCTGCTGCGGTTACAGATCAGTAGGATACTAAGTTTGAGCTAGAGTGAGTCCTATTAGTGGGCCCATAATTACTATGCAAAGGCCGCTTGTTCCTTAGTATGCCTTTGGTAACCAAACTAATCACTGAACTAGCTCCAGGTTTACAAGGTTGTGTGTCTGATCCCTACAGGACAATGATACAGGTTTTGAAAAAGAACACAATGGAAGTGGCAGGAGCTATGGGTAATGGGTGTGGGGCAAATCTTCAGAAGTCCCCCCCCAAAAAAAAATGAAGGAAAGTTGGTACATGCAGGTCCTAAGATTTGTGGAGATTCTTGCCTTAAAAAGGACTTAGCTGAAGCAGGTCAGCATAAACTTAATAACTCAGTACTCTACTTGTTCAGAGATGGGTACACACTTCTTTTTGAAATCAATGGCAGCCTCGGTCTTTTATCTGTAAATGATTTACACACACACACACACACACACACACACACACACACACACACACACCCTACCCCAAACAATGCACCTAGCAAGTGTTAGCAACCTAGAATCCCCCCTTCTGAAAAGAGCTGCATGTACACCCTGCTGTGAGTGCGTTTTCTTCCTCTTTACAACCATCAGATTGCATTTTATTCAATTGTATTCCACTCTGTCCAGGTATGAGGCTGGGGGAACACTGTGACCTAGACTGGTTTTGAACATATATGCAATAAGCTAAAACTGTGTCCCCAAGTCAACTTTTAGGGACAACAAATTACTTACCAACCTATGCCTATGAAAAATTGGGTGCACATTGGACTAAAATCACATGCATTATGAGAACAAACATGCATGGTAGAAAAAAATGATTATGGAATTTAATCTGTGTATCTAAGTAGAGAACCATCCAAACTCTGTCCCAAATAACTAGCTCCTCCTTCTCTTGAACACCATAAAAGGAAGACCCACATAAAAATCTGGGTCTTTGAGTACCTTCACTTATATAGCTTGCTGCCAATTCTAATAGTGTATTTTTTATCTGTACTATTGATTTGCTTTGAATAAAATTACTTTGCTTATTTGGTGAGCCCTTATTTTGGTACTATAACTAAGAGGCCAAGAGCCTGGACACATTCATCCCAGACCCACCCTGATCCCCGATAACATATGCAAATGAGGAAATGAGATCTTTCCTTTCTCTTCAGGAGTCTGGGTTTCTCTCCAGGCCTGAGTGGTGTGGAACCACCATGCAGCAGCTTACCCAGTAACTGTACTTTGTTCTCTGGACTCTGAACCAGGACAGAGCTGACTGAGTCCAGATTGTCATAGTTGCTGCAGCCCAGTGGACCAGTCCTGGTCTCTGTGACCTAGAGAAGAAGGGACAAGATATGGACTCAGAAAACAAGAAGAAGGTTCCCTTGGCCCTTTCCTTCTAGGCATCCATGTAGAGACTGACCTATTCCTGACCAAAGGAACTTCATTTGTCTACCCTAGGAAGGCAAAGTGACTTTGTTTCCTTGTCCCGAGGCAGTGAACATCGTGGGTTTCGATGTGGGTGGTAGCAAAATTGCATGTGATCCAGAGAGCATTTCAGAGGGGAGCCACTTCCTGTATAACCAGGAAGTTGGATATGGAGTGAGACCTTCAAGTTGGTGTCTGCCAACTGGAAGGAGACAAGGGGCCAGAGATGGTCCCATCAGCCTGTCAGTGAGCCAGTTGCATTCACCTGATGAGGTGCTCACAGGTTCTGGAGATGCTGAAGGTGAAAAAGCACTAGTAATAGAAATATGAGTAGTTATGAGTATTATTATTAGAATAAAACATTTAAGTCCACCTCAACACCGAGATGTCCTTAGAGAAAATCAGCTATGGTATTACTGCATATTTTAGAAAGTATATTAAATATACATAAACTCTTACAGCTACATAATATTCCAAACACCATCTTTTAAAATATTATAAAGTTGGCCCATCAGTTTTCCCTGATGTTTAAAGTGTAAGATGAAAAATGGGAAGCTAGAAATTCACTGAAATAAGTATGTAATAAGAATGATGGGGACCTGAGGCCCTTTCTTCTCAGGAGCACCAAAGCCCTTGCCAACAATCAATCAACCAATCAAGGAGTATTTATTGAGCAGCCCCTGTTCAATCCCACACAATTCATCAAACATTCATGGAGTGCCTTTCTGGAGTTCTTCTGTGTTCTACTTGGTACTGCTGACCTCCTCTTGTAGCTCCAGGCACCTCTGCTTTACAGCAGGCACATGAGCTGCAGATTTTACGGCCTTTCCTGAGAGGATTTGGTTATCGCCTGGTTCCCACGCTAGAGTCTCTACAGACTTATTTTGCTTGCTGTGATGTCAATAATGGCTAGTGCAGTGTCTGCAATATCATAAGTCAGCTGTGAACCTGAGAATGTATGAGTAATGTGTTCCAGTCTTTTCAGGAAGATAGGCACAATGATATATAAGCTATGTAATGAGTCATTCAAAGAGGCAGGTAGATTACAAATGAGGATAGACATCCGAGTTGTGCCCAAAGGATGTGTCATAGGAAGCACATCCCTAGGCAGAGGGAAAACAAAAACAACAGAGGGAACATCATCCACGCTTATCTTTAAAGCTAAGTAGAAAGTAGACACTAGAGGAGTTATGGGAAATGTGTTGTAAGAAGAAAACTTCAAAAAGAAAGACATTGGTATCTACAGCTCAGGCTCCAAAGTACATAGGTACACTTCTGGCTCCTTAAGGAACCCAGAATGCAGGGAACACCACTGAGGGACTCCTGTTTACCTAGGTTTAGAAATTGGTAGAGAATAAAGTTGTCAAGCAGGAGATGGGATGATACCACAAACACTGGGAAGGGAGTCAGGGCTGATCCTGGGAGCCTAAATCAGCCTTGAAAAGTGAGTAGGGATTCAAGGGAACTTGTGATAGAATAGTGGCTCCTGAAAAGAAGAAAGAAGCAGCATCAGGCACAGCATCTGAGAGCTAGCAAGATGCAGCCCAAATAAAGAACAGGATCAGGACCTCACTAGGAGCAGGATGACTCTCAACTTGTGTCCCGGGGAAACAAAATGTCCCCAGGCCTCTCAGAACCAAATCTCAATCCTCCCATTCTCCCAAAAGGAAAACACAGTCCAGAGAGTAGGGTGGCTGGGCAGGTGGTATCTGAAAGATGGAAAATTCTTAGAGATTGATTGATGCTTGTTGATCTATTGATTTTGAGAGAAGGTCTTACTGATAGGCTGACCTGTAAGTTATGGTACAGCTCAGCCTGTCCTTATAACAATCCTCCTGTTTCAACCTCCTAAGTACAGGGATCACAGGCCTGAGCCAAAATTAATGAATTAGTTAGTTAAAATTAACATTGGAGCTTTCAGACTCTAGTCTGTGTCATTTCAATTCCTAGAAAACAGGTCAAAGAGCTGTAGGAAGTAAAGTTAACTAAAGCCACCTTGAAATGTCATCACTTTCCAAACAATATTCTAAAGAAAAGAGTTCAGATAGCATCACAATATGCTAGTGATATGCTCTCCTCAGAAGGCTCACACTGGGCGAAAATGGTTGTAATGATTGGAAGTTAGTATTGCTATCTGTTGGGTCTTGAAAGTCTCACTCAGTACCTGTGGCTCCTCCCAGAACTTCTCACCCCACCCTCTAGCCCTCTACCCTAAACCTCTCCCTACCATAGAATGGGCCTCCATATCCCTCCCGCAGCTTCTCTTCCTTATATAACTGAGACATTTCAGCTATGTCCCTCTTGGTCTATGGACTCTCTTGGAACTTTTGACCTCTTAGTCCTCAGCTTCTCCCACCACCTTTCTCCCCTTCCTTAGCTCTCCTCTTCCCATGGCCTGGTTCAGCCTTCTGTGCCAGTTCAGTCTGGGTCCTTCCAGATGCCTCTGACTGTTTTGTTCCTCAGATCTACAATAAACCTCCACTCAAACATACCCAGGAGCCAGCTGTCCTCAAATTTTCATTCACTATCTTCCTATAAGAAAACTAAGTCTAGATATGTTAAATGACCAACTCAATATCATGTATGTTGTCGTCTAGGGGACCAGGATGAATTCAATTTACTCTCACATTGCTTTATCCAGTTAGTGTCACCTCACAGATGAATGTCACAGCTCCTGCCTGTATGGCACTTGAAGAGTGGTGTAAATGTTTCTAGAATCCCAGTGGTGGATTCTGGTGGATCTTCTTGAGCTAGCCTCTCTTCCCATGTAGACATTATGTATGGAATACTTCCTACTGATCAAGTGGTTGGTTAGTGATCAGACTAGACTGGGAAAACAGTGTCAGACTTACTTCAAGGCTAAGTCTTCTCTTTTCGTAGTACTCCCCAGAAGAAGAGCCAGGAACCAGTATGATTTAGTGGAACCTGTGTGAATGGGCTGGGCTGAATGGCAGGTTAAAGGTGGCATGTTATAGCATTGCAAAACTAGCTTGTTCCTACCTCAAGGTAAGCTGGCCACCATAATATCACTAAGTTGTATTCTGGATTTTCCATCTACCAACTCCTGAGTGGGTGACTTACCAACTAGCTTCAGGCAGAGAGTGAGATAACAAGCTGTGTGTCAGGAAGGGCAGGTCAGAGAATAACCACAATGGAGGTGCTCTCTCCCAAGCCTTTTCCTACCCAGCACCCATCTACTGGCCCATCTACTTCCCTACTTCCCACCATCATTTCCCATACTGAGGCTGGCTATCATCTTGTAATTCTCTCTCTCAGTCTCTCTCTCTCTCTCTCTCTCTCTCTCTCTCTCTC